TATCTTTTTCGGCCAATCAAAGTGCCTGCGCTGATGATAATAGTTAGGATACAATTACACAAAATTTAATGCGACATTTTTTCCCATGCTATCTAAAAATAAATACATTTTGTAATGTTGTGACGATACGCCTTGTAAAATTTTAAATATATTTCTACAAAATAAATAAATAATTAATTAAGTATTCCTTCTGAAAGATATATACAAATGTGCTACCAAATTTTCAGACCACAAAAAATTGACCTATCAATGTTGAAGATTTAAATCCATGGCGGGCTGTCCGTTAAAAGATTTTAAAAAATACATGGATATGTCAGATTTAAATCCAAATGAATTTAAATCAGCGATACTGATGCTAAACAAATAAACAAGTCATTCACTGCCAGGTCAGCTAACCACACACATGGCGCTCCATGTTGCACACAACCCCCTAAAATAACTTATTGAACCAACGCAACACCGTTCTGTACACATGCAGAAGTGGGGGAATATGTTCACGAGTATGTTACATTAAAAAATATTTACATTGTAGCGTTCAAAATAGAAAAAATAACAAAAATTAAAAGCAGAAGCAGAGCATCATGGGTATTCTCTAGTTAACTGAAAACACAATCCAAAATGATGAGCGACTAAAGCCAGTTTAAAATCACCTTCCATCGACCATTCATCATAAACTTCTACAATTCATAACATATATAATGTAAAGTACCTATATTCATTCACAATTCTGATTATACCGGGTAAGTGGTAAGTATTTCAATGAAAAATTATAATTTAAGTGTATTTGAAGGCTGAATTTTAGTTTTCTGTCACTATTAAAATGGGTATTTTGTTTATGTTTTCCCATGGATAGGTAGAGAGACGAAGAAAGAATTTCACATTTTGCTCTGTTTTTTGGAGTAATTTGCCGTTTTATGTCTTTTACTCTCTCGGCTTTTACATATTTGTGAGATGAACTTATCATCTTGCCGTATGTACGCATATAAAATATGTACTTTTCGCACTGATGTTCACAAATGAATGACTTGTTTGTTTATTCTCCGCACCATAGTGGTAACCCATAAATTATAAATAAAATAAACAACTTGAACCTTACCAGCATAACAGTCTAGGCATGGAACTATAAAATGGTTTCTAGTTCCACGGTCGAGGTAAATAACACTATACAATTAATACACCATTTTAATTCTATTTTAGGTTTTAAGTTCCAAGATTAGATCCACAGATCCACACAATATCACAGGGGTCCGTAAACTTGCTTGGTCCATGGAGGTTCAGACTACTATAGTAGTTTGGGGTGGAGGTAAAAATATACTTTGGTCTTCGTCGCCGAGGCTCTTCGGGCCCGGTCTTCGGGACGGACGGCGTTCACCCCATCAAACAAGTTTACGAGCCCCTGTCATACATACATGTATGCGGTAATCCAATAGTCTCGGCATTAGTTTGACCACAGTCCGGTGTTGAGAGACTGTGGTTTGACAGATTTACAGTTCGAACACTCACCTGAAGTTTATTGTAAATCAACAACTCGCGCCGCGGTCAACGTCATACACCGATGAGATGAGAACTGATGGTCGGCAGCAACCGACTGCGCAGCCGTCGTACTCAACAACTGTGTCACCGCAGCCTTTGTGTATGACTCCTTAGTGTTTGTACGCATGCTGATGACCTTGGAGCAATACTAGGGACCTGAATGGCCTTTGATTATAAAAATACTTTCCAGTAGCAGTCAGCT